GTCAGAGTATTCTAGAAAAGAATACAATACAGAGGAAAGTGCTATTTTCGCTTTATCAATGGTCCTGATGTCCCATCTCCTCAGTAATTCACCGATCTTCTTCGACAGATTACATGATGGCAGCATAAGGATCCCGGTAGAGTAATCTATCTTTTTATATAGCCTTAAATATGTATTTCCCTTCATTCTATTTAACGATATTCTAAAATAGTTGTGAACCCGCTCTCCTGGATAATTATGCCTCAGTCTCCTCAGTTCCTGGTCCCGATTTTTAACATCTGCCAAACGCAGACTCCTTATTATCATAGACTTCATAACTCCTACTTTAACCCAATAAGTGTGGTTGGAGAAGAAATTCAAGAGTAGAACTGCATTTATGGGTTGCCTATGCACATCTTTACTTAATCTTGTCCCTTCTTTGCTAACTAGGACATCAGGAAAAGGTAAATCACCTACATTTTCTAACTCGATGATGAATTTGATCTATCCATCGATCCTCTTTATCAAACTAGGAAAATTCTCTAGGTTTTATTAGCCATGTTGTCGAATTGCAGGGTATTCGTACATATAAGGAACTAATAATTTAGGAACTAAAAGTGCTTCCTGGATCAAGAGTTGCTCAATTTGACCCCTGTAATTATTTGCTGAAATGCATGACAAACATGATCGCATGCCTATACGTTGTGTCTGCTCGTACAGTTTACCACTAAAGGTTAAATATGTACATTACATCTCTAGATTGGTCATTTGCATTATTGACCCTTTACCTAACTTCCTGCTCATTACAATCTCAGCATGCTGGTGTAGTGTGGATTACAGGACCTGTATGGCATCTTCCACAAGAATGTTAGTGCACATAGACTTAACCTCGAAACTTACCAGCAAACCTTTCATGAAATGTACATTACATACACGCAAAAGACTATTTGACAAACCCATAGATTTGTCAAAATTATAAGATCGTATACTGGTTTATTTGTGTACGGAAACAGCTGCCACCGAACGCACTTCCGATTCTTGAAATAACTTCACTCATTTGCAAGGATGTAGAGTAACTTTGAACTAGCCAAACAAATAATGGGCCGCCTCATTAAGACCTCAAACTTAGGTGTATGGTACAGCGACTAGGGTTTAGCCCCCATCTTTTATCTTGGTTTCGCATATTTTTGCTCTATTTCGTGAAGTATGGATTACTGCTCTGATGATGCCTGTCATAATATAGACAAAAGCTGAACACAGTTTGATCGGAGTCGCAGGACAGAGAGTCGAGGACTTCTTCCCACAATACTACGGTCTTACCAACGCGGCAATCCTCCTTCGGTTTTTAGTAAAACCACCTCACGAATTACTTCTAATCAACTTTTCTTTTAAATAGAAATTTATATCACATATTTCAACCCTCTTTCTAACCTCTATTTTAAATAGGATAAGAAGGGTTTTTTTGGATAAATGGCAATTTAAAATTTAATTATACTCTTTACTTCACCAGTGAAATACTCGGACAGATATAGGTTGAGAAACCAATCAAGTCTGGTAAAATTCGATTACCCTGTATCCTTACTATCTACCATAACTTATTAAGCCAGCTTTAATTTTTACATCACATGTTTACTAATCTAAGATAAAACGATCTGAATTAATTCGTTTGTTAAAGTACCATGCAAAAATAAGCACAACTCTAGCATATATATAGGTTGTTTGACCTTGTTTTCGCAACTTGTTCATACTGGTAGGAAGACTTAAAAGAACACATCTAGTCCGAAGTCCATTGTATGTATGATCATTTCTAAAGTAGGACTCTGGACGTGGTACATTTCAAGATGTTTTTCCGGCATCGTAGTCAACATCGTCAATGAGTCTCGCGACTCTTAGCACCACACAACAACTCTTCAAAGAGACAAGTGAAGCCAATCCTTTGACCAAACGTGTGCTAAACAGTTGTGGTATTTTACCTTCTGCCCTGGGCTATTCACATTTCCTATAACTTCGTATCACACCTTCACTGTCAACATTTTTTCCGTGCTAATTTAAATGCACTGTGGTGTACCCTTTTGAGCGTCTTTCATGAGAATCCGCTACATTTCACACTCAACACTGGCGTTCTCACGCCCGCTTCACCCTTGTGCTGGGAATGTTGATCAGAGTTTGCCATATTGTTACGCAGTCCTCCTTCCCAATTTCTCATCTTAGTCCCTCTCTTGCCCCGTAAGTTCCGTCTGCTCTCTCCCTTGTTCACGTATTTCACTCTACTCCTGCCACCCCATCTGTGCTACTCGAGGCGCTATTACCCCTCCCCTGCGTATAATTGACTAATTCGAGGGCAAAGCTTCTGAGCGAGTCTTATGGTCACGCCTTTGCTAAATGGACCCCGTATATGGTAAAAACAAACATACTGTCAGCCAACTAGATCCAGTCTCCGCCGCGTCTATCCTTGCTTGTGTCCCAACCCACAAACTTTGTGGTTCAACATTGAACTTAATCAAAGAATGCAGTACAACAACATTTGTGGGTTAGCACATAAGAGATTAAGGCATAGCAAGTCATAGACTTGGTATTTGTTTATGTAAATATATTGATTAATTAATAGAGGCATTAATGTAGTGTAGTTACATTAAGTAATTTCTAAGAATAACTGCAATTCCTTAAATATGCAGTATTTAAAGGCTAACCTACAAGTAAAATGCTGGGTTCTTTGTGCATACGATAAGAGGAATAGCAGTCCAATCTCTGAAGCCTAGAATTTACGATGAGTTAAGGCTCGTAGCTTGTCTAATTGTCTTAAACTTATTTTCTTTTTAAATACAGTGGCGCGTTTCAAAAGGAATGCTTATCATTAGTTCTCTTTGCTGTTCTATCATTTCCGGTTTTCGTCCCACATGTATACGTTTTACAAGTCTGTCGTGGCTGTCACTATTAGATCAAAGAGAACATTTTTATGTGCAACAAATAGAAGTAGAGGATTCGGCTTTTCCTAAAGGACAAAATTATCTGAAATAGTGATCCTTTTTTTTATTTTTTTATTGGAAACTAATTTGATTGATTAAAGTCGAAATTCGTACAGATTTGTGACGAAATAACATTTTTTTAAATTGCTCTCTGACCCGAGGTTCTAGGGAGTAACTTGCTATTTTGAGTTTTTTTAATAACCTTTAGAGTATGCTATATTCTGCATCCTTCCTTTAGTAAATTAGTATATCTTCAATGAAGTAGACTTCGAACCATCATTTGACAACAGCTAATTTATACTGCGAATTTTAGGAAATTCTTTATACTTTGCTATTTTTTAAGCGATTCTAGCCCACTTCTGCCTAATTTGTAGCAGGTAGTTTCATATCTGAAGCGATAGTTAAGCTTTAAACAATAAATTATCTACTTATTTTTTACTTTTTCTAGCTATTAGTCAGCCTCACCTGCCGTCAATGCAATGTATCAATGCCTGACTGTGCCAGCCTACGTTGTCACATATCTACATGTCCTGGCACGGCTAAGATCCCTTTCACTCCACTCTCCACTTCGGATCATCCCTTAAGTCCGAATTTTAATACAAACGCTCATAAGCCTGTGAGCGGAAGTGGACTTTGTATGAGTAACAACAACAATAGCAACATTAACAACAGTAGCAATAGCAGCCCTTGCAATCAGGCAACCAGTCTCTTTTCTGGAAGCTCAGGAATGCTCTTGTCAGTTGGACAGTTTGGTGATATCTCATCTCCCATATTAAATCACCAACTTCCACAAGGTGTTATTGTTGAAAAAGCCCAGTCTCAGACCTGGCCGTTCATTTTGTCTGCAGACAGGATGATTAGACCCCAAGCAACACCGTTGCGATCATTGTTGCCGCCACCGTTACCGCTACAGCCGGTGAGCCTGGACTCAGCTTCAGGACAACATTCCTCTAACTTGTTAATCTCTTCCTCGGCCGGGGGATCAGTGTCTCTGTTGCCGGGTGAAAGAGTTAGACAATCTATGCAGCTGCCGACTGACCATCCAATTGAAGAGATGACATGCTTGCTTTCTGATGCAAGTAAGATGGAAGCACAAAGGTCCAGTGATAGTTGTGATAAGAACGAGACAGACTCGGAAGTAGATGTAGAAACCATTGCCGAGTCAGAATATCAAACAGGGTAAATTCTTGGAAAAAGATATTTACAACTTTACTACATTGCTGATATTTCATAAAAGCCCCAAGTTATTATCATGCAGGAAATTTTTAATGTTTCGTTTATAAGTAAGTTTTCGGGAATGAAATATAAGTGATGTGTCAGATTGCTATAACAAATACAACTTTGCATCATCGACAATCCCATCGCATGATGGGATATAGGAAAATGTCTGGTCTTCATTGAAATTTACATCTATCTGTTGCCCAAGGGCACT